CACCCTGTGAGCCGTACTACACCCTGTGAGCCGTACTACACCCTGTGAGCCGTACTACACCCTGTGAGCCGTACTACACCCTGTGAGCCGTACTACACCCTGTGAGCCACACTACACCCTGTGAGCCACACTACACCCTGTGAGCCATACTACACCCTGTGAGCCACACTACACCCTGTGAGCCGTACTACACCCTGTGAGCCGTACTACACCCTGTGAGCCATACTACACCCTGTGAGCCATACTACACCCTGTGAGCCATACTACACCCTGTGAGCCATACTACACCCTGTGAGCGGCAAATCTGATTTGGTACTTGCATGGATAACTGGATAAATGCTTGGTCGTGTAAGAAAATTAGTGGTAAAGCTTCTAATTGGATGAATATAAAAATTGAAACAAAAGAACACACTGCGGTGGTTTCTACCACGTTTGCATTCATGTTGTCGTTGTCAGAATCTTATTAAACTTGTATAAAACGAAATGAATAAAACACTTAACAAATATTGCATATGTTTCAAGTATGATAATTTGCAGAAACATGTAAATGAAATTACTCTAACAAAATTTGCATGAACTTTGTGAATCGATGACAATTTTGTAGCCATGACAATTTCTCGGAAGTCTTGTGACGTGCGCCAACTTGGGGTATGTAGGGGTATACTTACATGCAAGTGCTGATCACCCCATCCTTGACCAAGTGGTTCTTTCCTGAACACAGTCTGTTATGAGTCATATGATGCTTTCAGACCAGGTCATGTATAGCACATACCTCTACACATGCTGCCTTGCATGATGGGTGTTTCCCTCAAAGGCTAGGCCCACTGCCGAAACAGTGGATTGGTGTCAGGAAGGGCATCCGGCCAATTATCTCATGCTCCAAAAAAAACCTTAAATGGCAGTCACAACCATTATTGCCACTAGTTTAAGGTGAATCCGGCCACCCTCGTCTTCGGGGACCAAACCGGATTTAAAACTCTGGACTACTACTACTCTTGTGACACCTAATGTCAGCTACTGTCTTGATATTTTGTCTTCTTCTTGAATAGTCAAATTGTTATTTCTAGCTGTAAAAATTAAGCATATTTTATACAGTATTGCCCAATAACTGTTGTCATGTATGCCCGCGATGTAACAGTGACTGTCGTCGCTAATTCCTTCTGTCCACAAACATTCAATTTGTATGACCTTTGTGTTGCAAACAACAGTCAATCAGAGACCCCAGATAATACATATGTTTGAAGACCATTATTTGAACAATTGTGCAAAATATACTGATTGTACTGACGATTTGAACTAATTTTTCAAGTTTGCAATATTGGCCATATTTGTGATTAATAATTAATTTTTGTTATTTCAAAATATGTTATGACTTGTATATGCTATAATATAATTATAATTTTATTCACCAAACCATCAGCGGGTTCAGTGTGGTAAATAAAAAGTATTACAAGACTAGGACAATTCTAAATACAATACAATACAATACAATACAATACAATACAATACAATACAATAATAGAAAATAAGAATAAAATAAAGACTGAGTTAAAAAAAATAAATGTTAAAAACAATTACGAGAATGAATTCAATTGAGACAAAAACTGATCTAAATAAAGTAATTATAGTAATTCAAATATAGTAATTTTTCGTTGCCATTTCAGCTGTTATTTCTCATTAAATTATTACTACAAGCAGGGAAAAGATGTATAATTATATGATAAGGTTATCATGAGAATACCGCAAAGTATGCACTTAGGCAGTACAGTGCAAAACATTCTTCGTTGTCATTTCAGCTGTTATCTATCATTACATTATTACTACAAGCAGGGAAAAGATGTATAATTATATGATAAGGTTATCATGAGAATACCGCAAAGTATGCACTTAGGCAGTACAGTGCAAAACATTCTTCGTTGCCATTTCAGCTGTTATCTATCATTACATTATTACTACAAGCAGGGAAAAGATGTATAATTATATGATAAGGTTATCATGAGAATACTGCAAAGTATGCACTTAGGCAGTACAGTGCAAAACATTCTTCGTTGCCATTTCAACTGTTAACTATCATTACATTATTACTACAAGCAGGGAAAAGATGTATAATTATATAGTGAGGTTATCATGAGAATACCGCAAAGTATATACTTAGGCAGTACAGTGCAAAACATTCTTCGTTGCCATTTCAGCTGTTATCTATCATTACATTATTACTACAAGCAGGGAAAAGATGTATAATTATATGATAAGGTTATCATGAGAATACCGCAAAGTATGCACTTAGGCAGTACAGTGCAAAACATTCTTCGTTGCCATTTCAGCTGTTATCTATCATTACATTATTACTACAAGCAGGGAAAAGATGTATAATTATATAGTGAGGTTATCATGAGAATACCGCAAAGTATGCACACAGGCAAAACGGTAATGCATCAACCACTGGTAGGCGCTGGTTGATACAATCACCGTACTACTTTGCACATAAATTGTGGTATTTTGTAAATACAGTTAGTGTGGAGTGGCATTACAGAGTATGTACGTTATATTCCCAAGATATGGAATGCAAATTCGTTGTAAAAACATTTCACTAAGTTTCATGATCTTGCTTAGTTGTTATTTTTAGCTTAATACACCAAGATGTATAATAAGATTACATTCACATGTATATCAACTCTAGATACGATGACATTTGTTGATACTTTTAATAATAATAATATAATAATCTGTTTTTTATACAAATAAAATAAATTGCCATTTATTAATATTCTCTCATAAAGCAATTTTCATCATTTAAAAAACATTCGACTTTTTGAGTGCCAAAGTTAGTGTTTCTCACCAATCACAAATTTTTTTAGAAGGTTTCCGAATTTTTTGATAGAGATCTGTAGGAAATTGTATCAATCTGGTCCAAAAATATTAACAAAATCATAAAAAGTATACAATAAAAATTGGCAAAATATTGAACCAACATTTTAGCATGAAAAATTAATTCAGAAAGCTGTGTGCAAGGCTTTCTAAAACTGTAATGTTAAAGCGCAGTGGTCGTCGTGCAGCGCATGTTCGAATTTCATGTAAATAAACAATGTATTTTACACGCGTTGTATACGTCGCTATGAGTCCCATATCGAACAGGACGCGGCACGACTTCTTTAACATGGTTTATAGTGCACTGTCAAATTTTTTTGCACATTTACAGAAAAGTAAATTCAAAAAGACTATCACCTGCTGCCATATTGTGTTTTGGAGGCTATTGAGGGGAAAAAACCCCAATACACTGATAAAACTGTAGATTAATGGACATATGCCCTTCTGACAATTAATAGTTTATGCTTTTTATCTCTACAGATTCTTGGCTAGTGACTGATCTTCTTGAAAACCTGGAATCCAACATCAAAAATGCCGACACAAGAGAACAGCAAATTTTTTTACGGAAAAGGCACAAATTTTTAACTCATAAATTCAAAACTGGAAAAAACTTGAAATTAGATGAAGAGGCTGAACAACCTGTGGGTGAGTAGGGCGCCCTCTATTTTATGGGGTTTTTGACATCCATCATTGAGGGCGCTGTTTAGAGAAATACAGTACTGTAAAATACTTTATTTGGAATTTTCGCTGACGGAATGATTCAGTAAAAATAAAATCCAGCGATATACCTTTTTTCCTATATTTCACATTCAACTTGTCAAAATCAGTGAAAATAAATTCTATACAAAACACCAAAAAATTAATTAATTTCAGCAAAAATTAATTCCAGCTAAAATAAAGTATTTTACAGGATTTCCTTAATTGGAAAGTCGTCGATAGATAATTTTGTCAATCAAAAATTACATTTACAGTAAAATATGAAGTTATTCACAAATACTGGAATTTACATCTGAGTGCATCTCACAAAGGTATTGTCCGAGACGTGAATGCAAATCTTTGTGTTTTTTCAGATGCTTCAAACACGCCAACAGACACTGCAGCATCGTCCAGTACAGCGGCATTTGCAGACACCTTTTCAGACTTTTGTTCGGTAAATTTGAGATTACTATCAGACATAGCAACAGCATTCATGCCAAGAATGGTTACAACTGCTGACTCTGATCGATCAGCCTCATCATCAAGCGACGGGGTAAATGCCACATCTACATCAGGATTGCCTCCTACAATGCCAGGAAGTGAAACTAGCTCAACATCTACAGCCACAAATTCACTCAGGAACACAGACCAAGAATCTGGGTCTTCAAATACTCCACCTCCTGGTTTAGGATCACTGAACCCTTTTGGCATTCCAATAAAAATGTTGCATTGCTTAAAAAAGTGAAATGTAGACAGATTAATTATATTAATTAACATGCAAATTTGTTTATTTTAAAATTGTTATATCGCACGTAACTTGTTTCATTCTCTTTTTTACCTTGCCCGTACCATCAAAGATGGAAGGGAAAGGTATATTAAGGGAAAAATTTTGTCCGGCGTTGTCGTTGTTGTCGTTGTCGTCGTCGTCGTTATTAATTGTTATTGTGTGCATAATAACTTTACTAATTCTATTCTGAACTTTATCAAACTTGGTCACCTTATTCATCAGTATAAAGTCTTCCCTGAGTTTGAACAGATGTCCTGTATGAAAATATCATGCGAAAATTGAGAAAATCTGATAAAATATTTGACTGTTTCTACTTGACTGATCACTGGTGATACACATCAAAGGTCACTGATCTCAGTGGAAATATGCATTGTTGTATGTGTCCAATGAAGCAAATGATTTATCTTGTAATAATGTCCTTGGTAATGTATCTCAGAATCCCATACTGGGTTTCAAATCCAACTCATGGAGAGATTGCAGTCTGATACACATTTGCAAACCTACCAATAAAATCTTTACAGAAAACAAAATCTGTTTAGTTCAAAGTTATCAAATCAAAAACAATACATAAAAAATACATTAAAAGCAAAACATTTCATCCACATTTTAAAAAGAAAATTATTCTAAAATGTATGTATTCTGTATTTGACAAACAGTTCATTCGACAAATGAAAACTCACAGGAATATGTTTCAGCTATTAGAACAGAATGATAGTTTTTATAATACTAGTTTAAAAAACGCACTTCAAAGATTGCAGTGGTTGAAGATGTAGATTCTCAGGAGGCAACAGTACTGTTGACTTCTCCCTCCACTGGACACCAAGCAACTAACTATTTAAGTTGATTTGCATACAAAGCAGAGCTTGCAACATGATAGCTATTCATAAAGGGTGTTTTTTTTTACTTTTCATATAATACTGTAGTCACACATGAGGCAGTTCATATTTGTCTCAGTGAATCATTAATTTTTGACAGACACCTGTACAAAATACTTGGACTAAAGCCAACTAAAATTTTCTGTTATCTTGCATGTTTTATGAATCTAAATGCAGCACTTTTTTTTTGCAATGAGACATTTGTTTTTATACTAAAATATCTGAATTACTTTGACTAAAGCTGGAAATTATGTCCCTTAAAATAATTAAACAAATAAGGCACCAATGTTTTTGTAAGATATTTACATCTTTTAAGGACATTCGGTAGACTGATTCCCCACTGTTGGTTCAACCCCAAAACTTGTTTGTATTCAAAATTAATTATGACAATGCATATTTATATTGAATCAAACTATGATAAAGGGAATTATATTATATAACAAAGGGCAAGGTCACCATAGTTCAACTATGTTTTAGTCCTCGTTTGGACACAGTCTTATATAAGACCGAATCTTATAGATTGACTTCTTTGCCTCCCTGCGTCCGTACCTATATCTTAGACATGCTTGATCCGATTCCATCAAACTTCACATATGCACATCAATTAGTTACTCGATCTGATTCAAGATGGCCGAAGGGCGATCATTTTTGGACTGAAAAATCAAGCATTCCTCAGCTGTTTACAGAAGATTTTGTTCAAACTTAGTATATACATTAGACATTGTAGGACCATTGGACATTATACCTTGATGCACATAATATTTTTTTTTAGATCAGATTCGAAATGGTTGCCTGGTGGCCATTTTGATTTAATCTAGTGCCATATTTCTGACGTGCTTTGACTGTTAATGTTCAAATTTTATGTATTTAATATAACATCATAGATATACAGATGTATTCAAAATGGCCGACTGGTGGTGATTTTGTTTCAATTATTGCTATTCCAGAGCAATATCTCTCAATATGGACATGTACTTGTTTGATGATCAGATTTATGTACATTCACTAACAAAATTACTATAAATTTGATAACAGGGATTGTGCCATACATTGCTTGTTTTGTTATGGACATAAATAAAGCATTACAGATTTTTCTTTTGTGTAGCGAAGTATATATATTGGGGTTCCTCTGAAGTAGTTTTCATGGAAACAACTTAGTGATTTGAAATTTAACAAAATGTTGCTGAACTATTTGAACCGGACAAAAAAACAGACTAAAATGTTTACAAAATAAAAATAGTTCAGTAGCCAATGGAAATGCCATGTTCATTTGCATATCAACCGTGAAAATACCGTAAACATTATTGCATAGGTGATATGCAAATTAGTTTTAGTCAAAATAAGTGACAGCCTAAAAATACCATTGCTGTTGTTCAAATTTCATTTCACTCGACAAGTATATTTATGTACCCCAAAGGGAAAATATCGTACTTATAAATATTGTTTATTTCTGCTATGTTTTGAAAAACTGTTCTCCTGAAGGCAATACTTTATCTTAGAGCTCATTTGCATATGAAATAGAAATACCGATTTTTTTTTTGAGGACATATCAAAATAAACTGCAGTACATATGCAATAAATAGGTGGTATGTGACAATGCGCAGACTTTTAGTTTTAATTAAAATCTGTGCATACTAATTACCAGATTTGCATAATAATTAGTTTCCAGCATTTCAATATCTGAAGTACTTATTTCAATGAATCTTGGTACTTATGCGAAGGTCTAATTAGTTTTGGGTTTTATATACATCCATTATAATTACCTAGTTTGCATAATAATTTACTTGTTAGCCCATTTCTGATATCTCAAAAAAACAGATTTAAATTGAGTTGGACATGCTCTTGAATTAGACTGTAAACCACAGATGTATATTCAACTGTGTTTTTTGTAAGTATTTTATAGATTTTGATAATATGGCCCACACTGTTTTTATCTTGTGCATCTCAAATAGCAAACAAATATTAGTTGCCAAGCGTTTTTTTTCTCTCGGCACACAGTTCTTTCTAAGCTTTCTTTGATACTCGACTTTGGTGTTCGTTTTACATTTAGGCAGTAAAATCGCTAGAATGCATAAATTTATAAAAGAATCTGTATTTATGCCTGTTGAACATCCTGGTATTTTTGGGGGTACTGAATTTTTTAATTTTCAACTCGGGTATGCAATGCACACAATGGAGAGGTTTTGCGCTTAGTTGCATCTGTTGTGTGACTGTTCCACTGATATCTCAAGAACCAATTGCCAAATTTTAATGAAACTTGGTACATAGACTAGGTGCTCCAGGTTAATGCTTAGACCTGATTCGTTTTTTGATGAAATTCATGCATATTAATTACCTTATTTGCATATTAACCAATTTTAAACCTGTCAGTTGCTACTCGTGTACCATTTAACTGATTTCAATGAAACTTGGTAGATAGATGTTCTGGAACCTGATTATCTTTTGGTTGCAATCCATGTATATTAATTAGTTAATTTGCATATTAATTAGCCAATATTTAACTTTTCCATCAATATCTCAACCAGTCCTCAGATTCAATGAACCTCTGCACATAGATGCTGAGAAATAAGACATATACCTGTTAAGTTTAGGGTTAAATTTTGTGCATTCTAATTACCTAATAATATTGACTAATTATAATCCTTATTTCTACTTCATGCCTCCAATACCCATCTGAGCTTTTTTTGTTTCCTCCAAAAGCAAGTAGTTCGGTAATTAAGAATTTCAAAATATGTATTTCCTGTTCTAAATACATTTTGCACAGCATTTTTGACAAAATAAAAACATGAGTGAAAAAGCAAAATTTGTTTTCTAAGTACCGGTATAAGTTATCTTCATATTATGTCTAGTTCATGCTTGATTGAACAAACACAAATTTACAGACACTTGTGGTTTGATCCAAGATGACCATTTTAATACATTTAGTACAAAATACATGATTACAGTATTTCTACAAAGACGTAAATATCGTAAAAATGTTAAAATTACATGAAAAGTTTCACAAATGGTGCGTTTGGGTGTGTTTTAATTTGTTTTCAAACGCTGTACTCCATTCTAGACCAACAAAAAAACTCGAGAAAAATGTTTTCCTTCAATATGTATTTGGATCGGGCTAGGTTATAGATTGAAAATATTTATATTGTTATGTTTTGCATTGGTGGAGAAAATATGGATTTTTATGCCATAATTGTTGGCTCTGAATTGTTAACCTTTTTACCACTACCACCCATTTTTCATCTAATTCACAAAATAGGTCTGCACTTTCCTTCAGAAGACTGGGACAAAAATACCCCATTTGTTTTTAATAAAAACTGAAAATTCACTTAAATTTTGACTGTTGGCTACAAAATTTGGGTTAATTTCCAGAAATATTGAAAAATGTAAGAAAAGAGTGCATAAAAATTGGGAAATCCTGGTGGAGAAAAGGTTAATGCAGTATTCTATGTCTTTGATTATAATTTTTTAAAAACATGCAAAATGCATGCTTGCCAACTCAATTTATAAATATTCACAGAGCAGATGGATTAAGATATCCATTAAATAGAAACAATTTTTTTTTGGCCGATCAAAAGTTAAATTCAAAATCCTTTACAGATTATGACTTTTAGCTCGTCTGCATTTTGGAAATTTAGTGAATTTCAACCAATTTGGTTGAAACAATACAGCTTAAATTTACATTTCTTATTTGCAAATCTGTAAGCTACATTTCCTTGACCAATATACTATTGAATGAATAATGAGACATTAGCAGAATATTAATTTAATCGAGTTGCGTAATTTGAGCTAGATTTGTAAACAAACACCGAGTAGGAGACCTTGTTTGACCATGATGGATGGTTACATTGTATATATGCTTGTCTAAAAGATGAAGACCCTTAGTCCTCGAAATAAAATGGTTAGGAGAGTTAGGGAAGGGTATCCACTTTTAATTAAAAAAATAGAACATTTGAACACATTGTATGTTTTTAGCTTGTTCTTGGAGTGATTGTTTTACATATTTGCCAAGTAGAAATGCAACTTTCAAGACAAAAATTCAGCTTTAGAACTAATTTGACATCAGAGTTGCTTTATTGCCGAGTGTTGGAGAGTAATATAGGAGATCATACAAACAGTTGATTCTTTCAATAATTGGTGCCTGTGGAAGATTTGTGCCATCTGCTGGCATTGCTCGATATCAACCAAAGACTTGTTTGTGATGACAGGTTGTACAGTGGTCATGAAGAAGTTTATAATGCCCATTCGTATATTAAAAAGGTCCCTTAAGTGCATACCATGAAGTGTTCTTTGATAACTCCCCTAGTGAAAACATGAATGGCCAATCAATTACTAAGCGAAGAACAGTAGAAAAGAAAATTGAAGAATGCAAAGAATCTTTGTAGGCTTGATAAGTAAACCATTTTTTGTGTAAATTGTACTGAATGATCATTGTATCCCCATGGTCTTATTTACTGCACTTGAGGTTTCAAGAAATATACTGTATCGTATTTCAACAATAAAAACTGAATGAAAAAGTTCTGGTCATTTGCTTAGTAGTTTAACTGTCATTAAAATTGTGTTTTGATTTTCTACGAAAAATGACTTTTTCCTTCCTACTTTTTAGGATTCTGACAAAAATGTACGCACAATTTTATCATGCAATGACCAGAAACATACTACAAATATATACAGAGTGTAAATACATTTAATATGTAACCTCAATGACAGGCACAACATATCAAAGTTACACCACACAGAATATCAGATTTTAGAAACTCGCAAAACCCTGGCCCATGTAAATGCTTCGAATTCATAACCCTAAGCAATGTATAATAAATACCTCAAATACATTACTCTGGGCCATGTATTTTGAATAGTTCACATAACATTGGGTACTATTGGACATTGAATACTTCTTTGGATATTACCCTGGATCATGCAAATGTGCATTGAATACCTCATATACATTACCTTGGCCCATGTAATTTAAATACTTCAAATTCATAACCGCAGGCAATGTATATTAAATGCCTCAAATGCATTATGTTTTTTAAAAGGTTCAAATAACCTATAGATACAACAAAACAAAAAATACATAAGATGATTATTTTACATTCATGGTAGAAAAATGCATTAATTAGGAATAACAAACAGATTACCTTATGATAGGTCTCCACAGACATAAATTACTGAAACATTTGTGGTCAGAAAATGTAATTATAAAAATGTCACAAACGTTAAATTCCCTGAACCATTTTAAACTTCATATACTTATTACATAATAAGCGAGATTGTACAATCTCAATAATAATGTTACCTTATAAAGATTATGCCACGTATACAACTATTTCTTTGTAATGAATTGTTTCAATATTTGGCATTCCTGTTCTGTGTAGTATTTAACTACTTCACCAAAACTATGTTCATAATATATGCATTTTTTTTAAATGATGTGTAAATTATCTCCATATAATAGTAAAAGAGTGCTATAAATAAATGTAAATCTTTTCCCCGACATAAAGCTTTATCTCTTTGATTTGATGTATTTATGAGTAAAAAATTCAAAGAATAGTTCATTATAAAGTAAATGAGAATTGTGCCAAAATATTTATAGAAATAGTACAATGCGAAAATCTTGAATATGTAAAAAATAACACCTTTTTTTAAACATGCTGGACCATTTGCATTTGAAGGACCATTTGTAATGGGTACACACTTCCGACTAACGGATTCTTATGAACAGTTATCAGGCGTGTGACATACTATTGAACATTTTCTGGTAGTCACTTGTAGAATATAATGCGGCGTATAACTCAAATTAATGGCACTGGCAACTGTAATGTACATATACACCCATTGAAATACCAACAAGACCAATGTACACAGCAGCATCACGTTTTCTAGTGAGTTAAACAATTTATTCAAGGACCTCATTCAACATTAAAGTATATGACTGGTAAAAAAAAAACGAATAAAGAATACCTTGTAATTTCCTCGCGAATATAGTTAATGAAAGGATTATGCGTATGTTAGTCGTCGCTTTTATATTCACTGTTATGATAGTTGCTAATATAATTGTATTTAATGACATGTTATATCTTAATATGTTATAACAATTTAATTTGGACCTCAGTATATGTTGAAAATTATAGTATTGCATGTTTTTAATCACTGTGGACATACTCAAACAATAATCGATACATGTCTTTCTCATCAGTTGAGCAAAATAGGGAATGTGTCCAGATGATGTAAAAGTGGTAAATTTAAAATTTACGAATGAATCACCAGATGATTACTCAGATAAAGATTTCAATTTGAAGAAAGAATCATCTGAGAAATATTTGAACTGTTCGATTTCGATCAAGAATTAATGTCACCTTATTGTCTGAAAAGCAAATGAAACTACATTTTTTCGTAGTTGTTGCTTGGAATTACTTGAATCCATCATATTACAATGTTACCTAGAACTTTCCCTAAAGTGTGACACTAATGTTACTCAAACGTCAAGTATGTTTGCTATGTGGAAATAAAATTGAACCGAGCGATTATATTGGTTGAATTATTAATGAGTTGATTTGCAATCTCGCGCTCGAAATGGACAGTTAACAATATCGCTTGTGTGGCAGTAACAATTTACGAGAGTATCAGCGACTTTCGCGAATGCTGTGCAATAATTGGATCGCTGAAATTGCTAGCTGGAAAAATTAAGCGGCTTCCACGATATATTGCAAACATATTTGACGTTAGGGTAGTGATAGCGATCACATAAGAGAAAGTTCTGAGGCAATGATAATGGGTGATCAATGTCATAATGTTTCAAATAATCAACCAGTAAGTATACAAAAATAAACTCCTAATATCGTGAAAATTTGGAATAATTTGTCATGAATCCCTGTTCGAATTGTATAAATAACACGAAGGTTCTAAAAATTGTCTAGTTGACATAGTTTGGGCTTGAAAATAAAAGTTTCTCAACTCCCAAAAAATTGAAAAATAAACCCAAGAACTTTTGTCTCAACCCTAACGTTACACTATCAGGAACATTTACAATTCCCTTAAAATAAACTGTTTGAAATTAGAATAGAAGTGTAGCCAAAATACCGTGTACAACCGCATGTAAAAAGACAGTGTTAAACTGTCAAAGTAATTTGCCTTTAATTCATTCAATACCAACATCGATTGCAAAAATATACATCTTGGGTTTTAATATAACATCAGGATGGATTCAACACAGTGACTTAGTAGGTAGAACTTACTGACTTTCTCCATAAATATAAATAGTTTAATATATAGATTTCATTTATACACCTGTAAATAAATAACAATAACAAGTCAATATCATCATTTCGAACATGTTCAGACAAAGTAAGTGAAGATTATGGAGCGACGTTAACTTGTTGATATTAGTTCTTGCATATGCCGGGGAGGGACGAATTATGTATTTTTTCTTACAACAAAAGCCAGAATTTGAAGACATTTCACGCCAATGATTTTTAACTTTAACGTTGGGTGAACGGCTTGTTGTCATGTGTTTATCATATCCATGTTCACGTTCATTTTGAGAGTTGGTTTTCGAAGAACAATGACACTAATTTGCTTATAACGAGTACTACACATGTATAAACGTTATTCGGGAAAAACATGTTTTATAGAGTTAATATTTAATAAAGATAAATATTTAGCAAAAACCAACCAACCTTATTTAGTTATTTCTTTACTTTTCCTTGACACTCAACTGCTCCTTTTTCGTCTGCGTGAGAAAGATGGTGAAAACATTTCCTAATTAAGTCGTTTATCTACACAAAACGGGAAACTATTTTCGAGTCCATAAACCCAGAAGAAACTGACAATTGTATTTTATTCATTCTATGAAATATTTTATCATATTTACATGAGAAACACTTGAAATTAGGGATAAAGAAATTTTCAAATATTAGTTCAATTCTTTATCAAATCTTGTATCTATTTGCATTAACCCGGCCTTTCAAATAGCATGGGTGGTCATCAAATCTTGTATCTATTTGCATTAACCCGGCCTTTCAAATAGCATGGATGGTCATCAAATCTTGTATCTATTTGCATTAACCCGGCCTTTCAAATAGCATGGATGGTCATCAAATCTTGTATCTATTTGCATTAACCCGGCCTTTCAAATAGCATGGGTGGTCATCAAATCTTGTATCTATTTGCATTAACCCGGCCTTTCAAATAGCATGGATGGTCATCAAATCCTGTATCTATTTGCATTAACCCGGCCTTTCAAATAGCATGGGTGGTCATCAAATCTTGTATCTATTTGCATTACCCGGCCTTTCAAATAGCATGGGTGGTCATCAAATCTTGTATCTATTTGCATTTACCCGGCCTTTCAAATAGCATGGATGGTCATCAAATCTTGTATCTATTTGCATTAACCCGGCCTTTCAAATATCATGGATGGTCATCAAATCTTGTATCTATTTGCATTTACCCGGCCTTTCAAATAGCATGGGTGGTCATCAAATCTTGTATCTATTTGCATTTACCCGGCCTTTCAAATAGCATGGGTGGTCATCAAATCTTGTATCTATTTGCATTAACCCGGCCTTTCAAATAGCATGGGTGGTCTGACACTTATGGGACAATACTAATGACAGTGACAGATTTTCTTCGGATACGTCCAGAAAATAGTGTTTGTTATATATAATATTCGAATAAAGACGGCGTGTCAGATAGGATTCGACGGTATATGTTTGTCATAGTATAATTGTTTTCCAATGACATGTTATTCAATTGAATGAACACAGTCACGTTATAAAAATTGTAATCAGAGATAATACTTTATTTCTGTATGTACTAGTCTGAGATGTTTTCTAATGACATGTTATTTAATGGTTTGTGTAACATAACATGGTCACTTTATTGCCTGCATTTCATCATCCATAACATATGTATTAGAAACTGTAGCTTGGGAAACCTTTCTAGATTCTGAAATGGTGGGATATGTTACTAGACCATCGCATAGATGGAGTAACAATTATGGTAGTGGGCATTAATAAGGTTCAGGTCGAGTTATATGTTATATTCACGTTTTTATTATTGAGGGTTAATGCCATAAGAATACAGAAAAGAAAAAACACATCGGCACTGGACGATTTTTCGAGGAAGTTTGCATTTTTGCACCGGTTTCCATGATGAAATTATTTCTTTATATTATAAATCTTCGCTCGATGACATGGGATGAACATGTTGTATAATGTTATTGATATAATTTCTAATAAAAAATTACATTTAGTTTAGTGAGTTCACAAATGGAAGTTATATTCATGAGTTGACAATGATGTAACTGAAATCTGAAATCATACCTGGTTTCTGCTTGTTTCAGCTGGCTGGTCCTGGTCATCTTTCAGCTTCATCTCCTCGTAGTGCTCTTGCGCATCTCGCAATGGATTAACCATGACAACATCAATCTCCGAGAATAACTGATTTACAACGAAACAGAATAGGATATATGGATACGTTAACTTATTCAAATCATGTATAAAGTAAGCAAGAAGGGTGTGATGACATTTTTGTAATAATTGGACAGTATATGTTATTATAAACATAATAGTCTCAAGACCTTAATAAAGTTATATGAATAATCTCAAATTGCATATTCAGGCCATCAAATATACCTTGAGACTCAAATACAACAACAGTTTTCACAGATTATTAAATCTTACACGTATACACCTCAAATTGGATCCTTTTCATTGCTCATTTTCTAACCCACGCAATAAATGCCACAATAAACTGCCCATTTATGGTGTGTCAGTGTGCCGTAGTAAGCCTGTCTGCAAGTGGTGAAGGCTCTTGTCGTAATGACAAGTTGGGACCCGTGTTGCATGTTATAGTTTATATGTTAGTCTGCATCTAGAAAACGGAAATAATATATTTAACGCACATAATCATAATTAATTAATTTAAATAAAGGTCACGTACCTTAGCAACAGCTTCAAACATTGGAATGAGTACAAATTTGATAAACCCGATTTGGGCAGTGGGTTTGGTCACCTTGTCACGATCCATGAAAGGAGCTACAGGCAATCCTTCTGATTTTTCGCGGTCGCTCTGAAAGGGAATTGTGTAATATTGAGATGGATATCGCTAACCAATAATATATATATAACAAATCATAGATCATATATATAGTATATCTGTCATATAAGAACTATTAGCACTTTGAATGCCAACGTCTACTTTTGCCATTTTCCACAAAATAAACACATTTTTTTCAAAAATTTGGTTAAAAATGCAGCCAACTGGAAATTATGCTTATTCGTATTTTTAAGTCTGTATAAAGTTTGTAAATAAGTTATTTAGTTAAATCTGCGTCATATTCGATAGGGGTTCCTCATAACGTATACAATATGTGTAAAATTCATTGTTTATTTACACGAACAATTCTAACGGATAGAATGATAAGATGGCAGAGTTGATGACGTAGTCAGACAAAGATATTACCCGATACGGAAATCTGTGATTTGTTAACATCAAATTAACATAATGGCAGCTGAGTGTTACCTGCATGAAGTATTCTTCCAGTAGACAGTCAACCCAAGGTTCAGATATCGCCATGGGTCTAACCTCGTTAGATATGTCACAACATTTGATAAGAACCATCTTCAACTGCAAGAAATGAACAACGTACGAATGTTATTATGGTTGGAGATTTGTACTAATGAACCTTAGATGAAAATGGCCACCGAGATCTCGCTGAGAGCGAGAGAGCCGCGAGACTTATTTTGTGTACATTCTTCTTCATTATCGGACCATTAGCTGTTTCTTAACCTATATGAACATGGTATTTTTGACGGATGACGAGAGAGCATGATTTGGAAATATATGAGATATTAACATGTTGTTTACTTACTGAATTTAGGTGGTCTTCATTGGAAAAGTTAAAACCATTTTCAACCTTTGTTTTAAACGAGTCGACTATTTCACTATGCCTTGCCATATCTGTGGCTAGTATTAACATAATCATTCCCTGTAATAGAAATAATCAGCCCTTCAATACATGGTGTTCGCCATTTAAATATAAACCGTCTCGATACAGTGTATTTCATGAAGGCGTGAATGTTTTATATAAAATCTTGGTAAATCTTTTAGAAATTTCAAATGATTTTGAAACCAATTTAATTAATCGCAAATCTCTAGCGTGGCAGTATGGTGACAGAGGAATGATCGATGAATGAAAAATGCAAAAAAACTCATGGGTAATGTTCCTATTTACGTTTTCACCGAAGTCAGAGATACAACAGAGTATAGCGCAAAGACTTATAGCAAGGAGATTGCAATTACACGTCACAGAAACACCTCGTCACTAGACTTATGGGAACGATGTGTTACGAGATCTTACTAAAAATTGAAATTACGTAATCATAACGTCATCCAGACATCTTCGCCAGCCAAGATCCATTTATTCACCCGAAGCCTCAACATTAACCCTTGGCAAATTTCCCCACAATTCACTGTATGTCGCACGCCCTCAAACGATCATAAGACTCACTTGGGCTCATTTGCATCACCCAATCAGAACTCACGATAGAAACGACACATTACTTGGTAAAATCATGGTAAAGTTAAAATGGTGGAATATAGAATTGAACGTGTTGCTAGCTTTTTCTCTGTGAACGAGCTTACACTGACAGGTGGCGCCAGCTCCTTGCTAATTATTTCACCTCCATGACAGTCATAAATATGTTATAGTTTTTGTTATCTATTTGATATGTTTATTTATTTATTTGTCCTAAATGAACGTCTTCATGGATTAGGCAATGTTTAGTGACGTCACCAAACCCACGTGACTCACCTGTCTGATTCTTTTGAATAAATCAGCATCAACATTAGAGAATATGTTACATTCGGGTTGGGTCATGACTTGAAACGCCACGGCACAATGGTGATTCTCCAGTGGGGAGATGTCGTTGTATCGAACAGCTAAATCTGTCCTGGCATTGATCTGATATCTACAGAAACAAATATTAATGATTATTAATTATGATTATTAATATTACGAAATGAATATTAGTACTTCATTTGACCCTCTTCTGCTTTACTTGTGATGTGTGTGATTAGTGAGTTCGAAGCAATGGTATCGATGAAGATATGTACTCGTTATAGCCATGGAAGGTACCTTCTATGTTATAACAAACATCGTGACGTCGAGCAGTAAAAGTGTCACCTGGTGAAAGGTCTCGATCGTGCAGTGTGTATACTTAAAGCGGGGAAGTCGTCACCTACGCATGCGTCAGGTGGCCATAGCGTGTCATTGTTTACAAACAAGCCTATCCATGAGCCTTTGCGTTCTTAGCGTGTGTTGTTATCATCGCTTGGGACTCAATTCTCACGTGTGCGCAGGTGACGACTCTACCGCTTTAACATCAATGTTTTCAAAATGATATTCGACAAATATATTTGTTCAAGTATATCATGACCAGTGTAGCTCACATTCCAGATATTTATGTTCTATTCAACATAAAATAAATTCATTGCAAGTTTAATAAGGTCATACTATCGACAAAATAATCCTATTCATTTTATCTTTATAAATATTTATAAATTTTAATGGAGATTGAATCCTCCACCGAGCGTGATTCACAATGACGTCATTAGAAAAAGTACCAATGTGATTATATCGGTCAACTGAAAGTTTCAGTTTAAATTATGATATTTATAAATATTTATAAAAATGAAAGGGACCATGGCTTGTATAGTCGATACTACATTCAAATAATGAAATAATAACTGAGTAGGGTAAATAAAAAAAGACACAATAGCCCTATAAATTAGATTCTCTAGGAGGACAGACATTAACAAGTGGAAACAATGCAGTGACTACAAGCATCACGGTTAATCTTGATATACACATAGACACTGAAATAAATTAACATATAATTTATATAAAATTCCATTGAAATTAAATGCAGCTGAAAACTTCGGTCACTTGCAAAATATATAGGAGATGGTATACCAGACCTAAAACTAACGATGTAAACCGTCGATCATTTATTGAACTCGATCGAAGCATAAGGTAGATCGGCGTTTATATAAAATGGCAGCTAAAAAGTTGATTTAGTCAAAATGATTAGACATACCCATTAGTTTTAACCAAAATTATTCGTTTCTAATGAAGTGCACGTCATCCAATCAGACTATTCGTTTCTGTGCCATACATGTCAACTAATCAGATTATTCGTTTCTATTCACGTGTGTCGCGTACATCATCCAATCAGATTATTCGTTTCTGTGCCATACATGTCAACTAATCAGATTATTCGTTTCTATTCACGTGTGTCACGTACATCATCCAATCAGACTATTCGTTTCTGTGCCATACATGTCAACTAATCCAATCAAACTATTTGTCTCTACTCACGCACGTTATCCAATCTGAATATTCGTTTCTACACATGCATTGTGACATACATATCGACTAATCAGATTATTCGTTTCTATTTACGTGTGTCGCGCACATCATCCAATCAGATTATTCGTTTCTGTGCCATACATGTCAACTAATCAGATTATTCGTTTCTATTTACGTGTGTCGCGCAAATCATCCAATCAAATTATTCGTTTCTGTGCCATACATGTCAACTAATCAGATTATTTATTTCTATTTACGTGTGTCGCGTACATCATCCAATCAGATTATTCGTTTCTGTGCCATACATGTCAACTAATCAGATTATTCGTTTCTATTTACGTGTGTCGCGCAAATCATCCAATCAAATTATTTCTACTCACGTGTTGTTGTATCCTGGATGATCCAAATCGTGGCAGATGCACGCGGTTAACAGAATCACAATATCCAGCGGTGCCATCTTTGATTGCAAGTTACACAGGTTGATCATGCCGTACATCATTTGTGACACACAGAAACAATGTCTGAAGTTATGGAATGGATTGTTGCGGTAATTTTCCTGCACACACAGCTGTAACAATGAATGTAGTGATTCAAATATGCCGATTTGACGTTTGGAGTTGTTCTTTTTCAAAATACAACACACGTTTTAAATGGCGCCCTCTAGCGACGTAGCGCGTCTGTGAAGTCAAAATGACGTAGGCGATATCGTTCAAATGAATAACCGTGATTGGTTACATAGACTTAAGATATATCAAATTTCTAAAAACAGTATTTTTTTTTATTGATGACGATCACAAATCATGGCGCCCAGTACAACTATTAACGTCACAGAATTTCTTCGTCGTTAGAGGGCGTGTCGCCTTGAAGGAACTATGTGTTATGTTACTGAATCTTTCTTTGACAGGCCCACCTGAGGCGATCAGCCACCAACCAACACCACTATATCATTGATTCTAAAAATACGTTACTTACCAACCACCGTTTCAACACGATGGGATTCATGTTAAATTCTTGTACAAGACCAAGTTCATGGTACATATGCTCCAATAAACTTAGCATCTAAAATACAAAGATTTGTTCAAGTTACTAATAAAATAGCATATTTGGAAACCTGAATTCCAAATAAGAAACGACGCTATTCTAAAGATGGCGCTTGTGTTTTTATAACTAAGTGCAGCTACTTTCCCTGTTAAGAAAGGCGAATTTCAAATAAAGAACGATTACGTGTTATTTCCATGATGGCGCACTACAGCAAGATACTGTAAAATACTTTATTTTCATTGGATTATATTTTTCGCTATTTTCACTGAATCACAGCTTTCCAGCAAATATACTATTTTTGTTATATTTTGCATTTAACTTGTCAAAAATTAGTGAAAATAAATTCCATACAAAACACCCCAAAAAGTCGTCCGTCGAATTCAGCGAAAATTAATTCAAGCTAAAATATTTTACAGTACATTGTAATTCCATTAATTTTCACAATCTTGCTATACACTAATAGATATACACACTCCGTTTTATGAAGGGGTAAATGTTTTTTAGATATAAAATTTTCATAAATTTCAAATGACAGCTGGAATTTGACCAATCACACCACCTTATCAAATGCATGGCAGTGTGAATCATTGTTTTATATAAATCTTATAAATGTCTATTAAACCCGTAAGTATAATGGTAATCATATTATTACCCTCATTGTGTTTCCCCGGACATAGACTATTTTCCCAGAAGTCCAAGGTACGGCGTTTCGCATCATGCACGCGCCGTATACCGGATATGGGGTGCAACGTGAACTTGCACGTGTGATATTATGCTTGAATGTAGATAGTACCAATCGACGTGACAAAGTAACAATTCCCTTTTACCGAATATTAGCAGACTGACTTATTTGTCTTTGTCACCCTAAAACAGGTAGGTTTCTTGCTTGCATCTCCGTCTCACTACTTCCGGAAAAGTGGTCTATCCTCTAGGGCGGAGCTACGTCTCAAGACGGTCCACGTTGCTAAGACGCGCACCACTGTACCATGTATTTCTATGGGATCTGTGCGCGCTGCTGAGGAACGCGGAACGCCGGTGAAAATTCGAGAAAACAACAGGAACTCAACTTTGAAGTAATCCTAAACAATCAAATTTACATGAGTTACACACGTAGGGGTAATCTTGTTACACTGTTCAGGGGAGTCTCAACAACCATCCCAAAGTACCGTTTTCTGAGAGTTTTCGGCCTTTGTTTTCACCGTGATGGGTGCCAGGCGGTGAAAATGCTCGGATGTTCGCCCCCGAGGATACATCACAAATAGAAGAAAATGCCCTCAGGCGGCCGGAATACTCACTTCGTTAGATTCCCAGTGCCATATGTCGAATGTTGGTTTCTTCAAGTAGTCAATGGTTTCTTGAGACAAAGTGTACTAAGCAAGCCCAACAACAGAACAATATAGGTTATAAAAAATACATGTGTTAAAGTGGTTAAAACAGAAATAACAAAATGAAAATGGTGTTCTTTTTCTATAAATCACGCCATCTAGTGACAAAGATTTTTTATGACATTAATGGGGGGGCACAAAAGCTGTTCAAATCGTCAAATCTTCATTGAAGGAGATTGCGCTTTCGACAGATGTTTCCATATTTAGACGATAAACCACTACACAACTAAACCCAGTGGTCGTCGACATTGCCTTCATCCTTATCACGGTTACTTGTAACCGTGTCGACATTTTAATGTCACAGTAACCTTCATCACTAGATTTATAGCTAGCGTGTGTACATGATCCCCACTCATAGAATACGATATTCCAACACACTGGACCATGTACCGTCAGACGACATTAATTTCTGATAAATGACATATTTCATAATAAGAGAAATCTGATTAAAATGAGCTCCACTGGTTTTTCGGTTTCCCTGGTTTCTCCCATTGCAGTTGGCGAGAGGTCTGTTTTTGGGTTACTGACAAAACATAAAGATGACACAAATCGTTTGTACACAACATCTTGTTTTAATCAGATTGTGACAAGGGTGGAGTGTTTCAGCCAAAACCTGCCCTCAACGGCAAAGTAATTCGATCTATTTGTTTTTGCGATCAAAAATACATATAATTTGTCGATAATTTGGCATGTAATTTCGATCTGAACATAAAAAAACACTCATCACTGCCGTATACACGTGAGCTATTTCTCGCACACTTCCACAAACAGTACATGACCGTTGAGGGGGTAAACCCTGTCTTACCTTGGGATATTTGGGAACATCCCGTTTCAGGTTCAACTTCTTGACATCCATGCCATATGCGCTGCAGGAGTTACAAAGTTTGATATATGTGCTGTCAATATAGTAATACAGTGGAATAGTGCGTTGTTAGTTGGGGAGGGGTGGTTATCAAGGGACGGTGCTGCTACATTCATACATGTGAATTTGAAAGCTTAAAGCGAGGGAGTTGTCACCTGCGCATGCGGCAGACGGCCATATGGCGTCGTTGTTTACGAACACGCGTCTACCCTTTAGCCTTTGTGTTTTAGCGTGCGTTGTTATCGTCGCTTGGGACTCAATTCCCGCGCGTGCGCAGGTGACGACCCCTGTGCTTTAAATTATTAGTTTCAGATGGGGTACATATACACACAATGACAACACAGGACTGAGAGAGATTGCCTTTAAATTACGCATGCTAGTGTCATGGCGTATTTAACGTTGAGCATACAACTTATAAATCAGCTATTTTTACTATTACATTTTATATTCTGGCGTATTACAATGTTCTTTCATTCAAGGTTACTAGTAACCGTGTTCTATTACATTACCAAGCGTGATAGTTATACTACCAAGCATAATAAATATACTACGAAGCGTGGTAAATATACCACCAATCATAATGTATATACTACGAAGCGTGGTAAATATACCACCAAGTATATCAAATATACTACCAAACGTGATATATATACTACCAAGCATAACAAATATACTACGAAGGTTGTAAATATACCACCAAGCATAGTAAATATGCCACGAAGCGTGATAGATATATTACCAAGCATAATAAATATACTACGAAGCGTGGTAATACACCACCAAGCAAAATAAATATACTACGAAGCGTGGTAAATATACCACCAAGCATAATAAATATACTACCAAACGTGATATATATACTACCAATCAAAATAAATATACTACGAAGCGTGATAAATGTACCACCAAGCATAATAAATATACTACAAAGCGTGATAGATATACTACCAAGCATAATGTATATACTACAAAGCGTGGTAAATACACCTACAAACATAATAAATATACTACAAAACGTGATAAATCTACTACCAAGCATAATAAATATACTATGAAGCGTGGTAAATAGACCACCAAGCATAATGAATATACTACAAAGCGTGATAGATATACTACCAAGCATAATAAATATACTACGAAGCGTAATAGATATATTACCAAGCATAATAAATATACTGCCAAACGTGATAAATATACTACCAAGCAAAATAAATATACTACCAAACGTGACATATATACTACCAAGCATAATGAATATACTACAAAGGTGGTAAATACACAACCAAGCAAAATAAATATACTACCAAACGTGATATATATATACCACCAAGCATAATAAATATATTCGAAGTGTGATCGATATAATTCCAAGCATAATAAATATACTACGAAGCGTGGTAAATATACTACCAAGCAAAATAAATATACTACGAAGCGTGGTAAATACACAACCAAGCAAAATAAATATACTACGAAGCGTGGTAAATATACTACCAAGCAAAATAAATATACTACCAAACGTGATAAATATACCACCAAGCATAATAAATATACTACAATGCGTAATGGATATACCACCAAGCATAATACATATACTACGAAGCGTGGTAAATATACTACCAAGCATAATAAATATACTACCAAACGTGATATATATATACCACCAAGCATAATAAATATATTCGAAGTGTGATCGATATAATTCCAAGCATAATAAATATACTACGAAGCGTGGTAAATACACCACCAAGCATAATAAATATACTACGAAGCGTGGTAAATATACCACCAAGCATAATAAATTTACTGCAGAACGTGATAAATATACTACCAAGCAAAATAAATATACTACAAAGCGTGATAACTATATTTCAAAGCATAATAATTATATACACACACACACACACACACACAAAAGTATCAAGGGCCACAACGGCACACAAACTTCGTCAATCAATTCTGTACTTCGTGATCTGCACCGTAGCAAAGTTGAACGATGGTGCATAAACAGTGAAAGAGTTATAGTCGCAGTGACGTAGAAATGACATGTTGGTTATTGGAAGCAACATCCTCCGAATGACACCGTTTCGCTAAAGTTGGCCATTCGTAACCGGCCCACGAACCCGTGGGTTAATGTTGAGGCTTCGGCTGAATACATGGTCCTTGGCTGGCGAAGATATGGAAGCAAAGGCCTTGCTTTATTTGACGGTGTATTCGTTTATTGTATAGAATGTAACACATTTGTAAAAATCCTCATCTCTGAGGATGCCACTTGGATAGGGTTAAATATCAAACAGATTAAAAGTTATAGATAAATGTGTTACTTTGAGTTTTATCATACATATCGATACAAATTAGGGGGTACGAGTATTCGTTTGATAGATTAATGTAAACGTTATTGCGCATGCGCGTCGAATTATTTGCATGTGCAGGCAAAATAGGGCGAAACCATTTGCATTTTACGTCATTTCCTCGAAAGAATACTGCTATGTTTTTTACCAAGCAATTGTTTTTATTTTAAGTTAAAACGAAATTTAAAAAAAAATTATATATGCTCAATTGCACTAAAAATCACCCACATTGTCTCTTTGAATGGGCGGGGAGAATGAAGTTGTGGGGTGTCTGAATATGCCGAAATAATTCTCGTTTTGAATCTCAATTAGGGTGTAGTTTCACGAGGTACAAACCTAAGTTGAAAATAATCATGCTGTGGCTTGATAGCCACCACAGAAAGCAAAGCTCTGTATTTTCGGGAGTCCGCTGCCTGTCCTAGGCACCGACGATAACTCTCGCGTCGCGTGTGTTGCATTACCTAGATAGCTACAAACCTAATAATTCTTGTCTGAGTACACACACTTAAACAAACAAGCTTAATGAAAATCATACTAACAGGGTCTGTTACATCATTGTTATGCTAATAAGATTCGCATGCCGTATTAATGTATTTATTTTATTGAAATGAAATGAAAATTTGCCATGCCATTTATCGTGATGCACAGAGAGCGGATACTATACTGTCCGGGTTTCACGAACGTGATTTAAAGCGTAACCTTCCGCGATTAAAGAGGAAGGGCGAATATAGAACTATAATATCTGTATTTCGCTCCAAGACAAAATTCGATTTTGTTGTGTGGTGTCCCGATGTATGGATTTGTTTCGGAAATGCTAGGCTTTCGCTTCAGGGAGGCACAATTAACAAGATCGACAATCGTTCTACTAAGTAGATATGGCGCCTGAATTCAAATCGAATTTGGTATGTACATGTGCTCGGATAGGAGTGTCACGGTTGTGAAACCCAGGTATCAATACGCTGACATCTTACGCATGCGTAATACTATATATTCTTTTTTTGAGTACTAGTACTCTGACTCCAAACTGAGAGGGCGTAATTTGCCATGCCATGTTAAGATGCACAGACAGCAATGCCACTTACTCGGCCATTGACGTTGCAGAGGTCGCAGACAACCTTTTCTCTGAAGAACTGTGAACAAGAACATGACACAGAAACGTACAACATATTGAAGTTAGTTACTAAAACCTTGATTATTATTTTTAATTTAAAAACGCAAAAGTATGACCACTGGACGTGTAAACGCCATGGATATTAATCAATTTGCTTGTTTTTAAAACTAAAATCAAGGTTTTCACATAACCAATTAGACGTTTTTTAAGTAAAATTGGACAAACATAGAATTTAGAAGACATGCAGAAAAGTGAAAAATGGAGTTGTGATGAGTTAGTATAGCGATAAGTGGTCAGATTTATATTAGAAAGCAGAAACGCCACAGAAACATACACAAACGAACACATAGTGGTAGTATAAATGAATAATCGCTTTCCATTGTACCGTCTTTTTGTTTCAGTCCATTCACTATGTGACTCGCAACATATTATTACTACATCTAAATACGGTGAAAATATGGCTATTTTAGGAATGCAATGCGGAAAATATTTAATAGGCGTTTAAGTGAGAATTGCGAATTCTTACTTTCAAGCATAGACCCTAATTCACCATAATTTCTTTGTAAACCATGTATTACTAGTATTTATAGGAACATGGGCGTCTACACATTTCTGAGCTGGTGTACAGTTTACTATGGTGTTATGTGTCACGGCGCACGTATACACATTAAAGCGGGAGAGTCGTCACCTGCGCATGCGTCAGATGGCCATAGCGTGTCATTGTTTACAAACAAGCGTCTACCCATGAGCCCTTGCGTTATCAGCGTGTGATGTTATCGTCGCTTGGGACTCAATTCCCACGCGTGCACAGGTGACGACCATCTCGCTTTAACCGTCGTTACTCATAAACGGTTAACTCATAGTGGCGTCCAGTGATGTCATTTCCAAAAAAAAACGAAAATCCCGCATTCTTCGAAAGCCTTGTTACTAAGGTTACCTACTTTTCATAGTGAATTAGACGACAGAAAACAATAACAACACCCCATAATCCAGGTGTTTATATTTCACTCAGAAATTAGAATGCTGCATCAAACTATACTGCTCTCGAGACTTCGACTTTTCGTCTGAGGTCAGAATTCAGACTAGCCTGCCGAGTCGCGTGAGTTGCGCCCTCCGCGAGCGCAAGAGATCATTTGCCCAACGTTTTGCACAATCGCACAAATTAGTGGAGTCTGATGCCGTTCGGCCGGCGAGGGCGCTACTACACCAACATTTCAGGCTAAATTCAGACGATTATCGATTGAATGTCCAGTTTTGGTCAACACATATTTTTAAATACAAAGTGATAAACAAATACAGGAATGTGCGCCCTCTATTGCGAGGATACTTGATGTGTGTGCTCTACCATATGTGAAAACAAGTACCACCCATCAGTGCTTTAGCAACCCACGATTCGAATCAATGGCAGCAGCAATCAGTACTAAAAACTTACTCCTATGTCCACTCACAGTTACTCAAAGATACTGCGATTTTAAAGAAAGGCGTGACATTATAAGGAATTGGGAAGTGCAAAAAACAAATCAAATTATGAAAAATGGTGTTGACAAAATCGTCGCAACTGTCATGTTTTTTTTAGCCGTGGGTAAGAATTGAATATGACGTCATACATAGACGAGTGACGCATGTTCGTACATATTTATACTGCATGGTAGCCACAATGTCGAATTAAAGAGTTGTTTGCACTTATGTTTAGGGAATATTATTATCCACAGTATCTTTTTTTGAATGAATTGGTTTTGTATTTTGGCACATAAAATTAATCACGTCACCTTCTTGCGTTGTGATTGGTTGACACGATTTTGTCAGAGAGTGAGGTTATTAAGCCTTACTACGTAAGACTTACTTTTTAGCGGCCAGTATCTGGTCTTTGATATTTGTTAACTCCAGCTTACACTTCTCTATTTCCACTGCTTTCAGTCCTTCCACTGTGAAGAAACATTTATTCGAATTTAGATAAAATTCGTCCTCTGTTAATATTTGTGTACATATAAACATAGCCTGACTAGGTCGCGTGAGTTGCGCCCTCCGCAGTGCTCCAAACCCAACGAGGGCCGTGGCCGTGATTGGCTAGTCCCCGCCTCAAGTGTCATGGCGTATTCGCAAAGGACGCCGGGAACCAGCGAATGGCCGTGATCGATAGACCGAAGGTGCAATACAACCACGTCAATAGAAACAACAGACGACAATATAAACAATTACAAAAAAGAGTGCAAACATGTTTCAGATGATCATTATTGTCGCATTACGCTTTTGTGCCGAAATGTGCTTTTATGGAATTATTATAAACCGAATCGTTACTTACCTTCAACCCTCTTTTCCACGGCGGTTAATCGTCTGCTCACTTCTTCTTTCAACTCGGTAACTTTAAACGCCCTAGCGGAAAGATAGAAGCAGATTGTTAGTCATCATTCGCAGCCTCACCCGCAGTCCACCTACTATCACTATAGGTGGGGTTTCGGTGTCACGTGACAAGTGTTTCCCAGTACATCTTCAGATCCACCATTTTCGTGCTAATCGTGCTATAACTAGTAAAACGCGAACGAGGCTACGTAAGTTGACGTAATAAGACAGACGATCATGTGCTCAGAAACCCGCAGACGATAAATGCATTTCCGGGTATCAACATGATCGGACCTATATGATCACTGCTACGCGGTCACTGAAAACATTTTGAAGTGGACATTTTGTTTTTGTATTTAGTAAATACACATCCTGCCTCCTTACTTGTTGAACTGCTCAGCAACTTGCGCCATAATAGACTGAATGACGTCATCTTCACCTAAAATGAAACAAATAAAAATACGGGTTGTGATTTCAACAATTTATACTCCTAAACGCGAAGCACGATTAATTTAAAAATAATTTCCCTAATTATGCATTTGTAAGTCGCGTGCTCAAGTTTTATCTAAGTCTTCGCGCGATCTCACGACACATGTGAGATCTTCATCGCATATTCCCGGAAGTTGCAACCTCAGCTATCCATCGCATATTTTGCTCTTTGAACGCCAAAGCCAACTACCACAATTAAATCTGGCCCGGGTAATTATTTCAACAATTTAGCACAAGACTTGTAGCGAGTATCATGTCTATTTAGTTCAAATTCAACAAAGAAATTGTCGAAAAATACAGAAAATCTGTAAAATGTTACGCCAATAATGTGAGGTTATAATATAAAGTCACGTGGTGCTGATGGCTTAGTAGGAACACAACATTTATAACCACGTGCGGTGACATGCGACGAAGATCTCACTGAAACAACGCAATGTCAACTCGCATACGTTTCGAGATTTCGAGCGAAAGAGGGTGGAAGAACTGAAAAACAATTGTTTCAAACGACACAAAAATAAAAAAAATCTTCTTATCATTGAATTTTATTTCTCGTTAAGCTATCTAGTGAACTCTATAAATCGAGCATTGCTGCTCGGAGGCAATTTTGTAATGCAGAGTTATCTCATGGTAACATGTACTTTCATCGCGTTATTTTAGTGAGAACTTCGTGAAGTAACACTACGGATACGCACGCCCTTTTCTGAATGTACATTTGATGACAAGTGCATTATGGGAGCCTCCAAACGTCACGGTACGGGAAAAGTGAATATGAAATTACACACCACATAAATTTACACGTGACTGGCGTGACGTCATTAAATTCTCACCTAGGTCATTTTGCATTTGACCAGTGTACGAGTTAGAGACATTGTTCCCTGTCCTATTCGACTCTGAAATAAAAATCCAATGAATAATCCTGGAATTATGTGTTCGTTTGGTAAGCCATTTTTTACTAAGATTAAAAGATTAGGTGCCATTAGTCATTTATTTCACATGCAGCTCTGTATAGCGTAACTAAAAATGACGTCACTAAAAATTACATAATGTGATTAATTATTTATTCATGAGACTTTCAAAACATAAACACAACCGAAAACAACTGTTGTGCCCGGCGTGGAGATAGTTCACTAAGGGTTTAGTTCAGGCAATATACTTGCACGTGATTCACAACAAATCACCGAAAATCCACAGCAAAGTAATGTAGTTGAAATTGAAGTTATCGTGTGCACATAATGGTCGCACCTGTCCTCGCGCTATTTTTTGAAAGATCTCGCGATGTGCGTCGGTTTAACTACAACGCCCCTATGACGTCGGTTTAACTACAGCGCCCCCTATGATAGAGGGACTTTAATACAACTTCTTTATAACGAGCAGCAATGATTCGATACAAGAGCGAACCAGTTGAATGTTTAAGCAGTTTTCATAATTTGTGCATATTTATAGTAGACCATTAACGCACACCTCAATTTTGAAATATTGATAGTTTTTTTATTTATTTATATATTTAACAAATAACCATGGAAACGCTGCCAAACACAAAAATAAAGGCCCGCTCTTCAGCGCAATGGCGTACCTGAGCTGTGCCTGAGCTTTCTTTGCAACGTTCCGTAGAATCTCGGGGATTAGCAGGGGAATTCTGTCGAAACTATCCCAATAAATCAAAGAAATGACAAAAAAAAGTGAAATCATAATAATCTGTTCGTCTTTCGTCTATTTTTGAGTATCACCGTATTCGTGCGTTACGAATACACGGTGGGGAATCCCTAATTGGCGGTCTACATTCAAGTATTCTACTCTTTGAGATTTTCTCCGTAATTGCAGTGAACACAATTATTTAGACATTATTATCAGATTTCTTGTGATTCCCTGTTTCATTCAAATAAATACATAGTTGTTTTCTTCTAAGAAATTGTCGATACTTATGTACGTTGTCAGTAATTCAGTCAGTTGTCTTTCGAAACAACCTTGCTTTCTCGTACCAAGTATAGATATAGAATACATTTTATAAAGTATGTTTCAAATGTATTTAAAAAAAACGTTTTTACACAACAAATTCACATTGTTTATACGTCAGTAATTTTGTTATGATTTCTAGTGAAATTGCAACATTGTAACAATATTTCAACACCACAACCGTGTTCATCCCCGTGTGCATCCCCGTGTGCAACACCGTGTGCATCCCTATGTTCATCCCCGTGTGCATCCCCGTGTGCATCCCTGTGTGTATCCCTGTGTTCATCCCCGTGTGCATCACCGTGTGTATCCCCGTGTTCATCCACGTTTTCATCCCTGTGTTCATCTCCGTGTGCATCCCCATGTGCATCCCCAAATGCATCCCCGTGTGCATCACCGTGTGCATCCCTGTGTGCATCCCCATGTTCATCACCGTGTGCATCACCGTGTGCATCCCCGTGTGCATCCCCGTGTGCATCCCCATGTGCATCCCCATGTTCATCCCCATGTGCATCCCCGTTTTCATCTCCGTGTGCATCACCGTGTGCATCACCGTATGCATCCCCGTGTGCATCCCCGTGTGCACCCCCGTGTTCATCCCTGCGTGCATCCCCATGTTCATCCCCGTGTGCATCCCTGTGTTCATTCCCATGTACATCCCCGTGTTCATCCCCGTGTTAATCCCCGTGTTCATCCCCGCGTTTATCCCCGTGTTCATCCCTGCGTGCATCCCCGTGTGCATCCCCGTGTGCATCCCTGTGTTCATTCCCGTGTTCATCCCCATGTGCATCCCTGGGTTCATTCCCGTGTTCATCCCCGTGTGCATCCCCGTGTTCATCCCTGTGTGCATCCCTGTGTGCATCCCTGTGTTCATCCCTGTGTGCATCCCTGTGTTCATCCCCGAGTTCATCCCCATGTGCATCCCCGTGTTCATCCTCGTGTTCACCCCTGCGTGCATCCCCATGTGCATCCCCATGTGTATCCCTATGTTCATCCCCGTGTTCATCCCTGTGTGCATCCCTGTGTTCATCCCCGTGTGCATCCCCGTGTGCATCCCTGTGTGCATCCCCATGTGCATCCCCGTGTTCATCCCCGTGTGCATCCCCGTGTTCATCCCCATGTGCATCCTCGTGTTCATCCCCGTGTGCACCCCCGTGTGCATCTCCGTGTTCATCCCCATGTGCATCCCCGTGTTTATCCATGTGTGCATCCCCGTGTTCATCCCCGTGTTCATCCCTGTGTGCATCCCCGTGTGCATCCTCGTGGTCATCCCAGTGTTCATCCCCGTGTGCATCCCCGTGTTCATCCCTATGTGCATCCCTGTGTGCATCCCCGAGTTCATCCCCGTGTGCATCCCTGTGTGCATCCATGTGTTCATCCCGTGTGCATCCCCGTGTGCATCCCCGTCTGCATCCCTGTGTTCATTCCTGTGTTCATCCCCGTGTGCATCCCCATGTTCATCCTCGTGTGCATCCTCGTGTTCATCCTCGTGTGCATCCCTGTGTGCATCCCCGTATTCATCCCCGTTTGCATTCCCGTGTTCATCCGCGTGTGCATTCCCGTGTGCATCCCTGTGTTCATCCCTGTGTGCATCCCGTGTTCATCCCCATGTTCATCTCTGTGTGCTTCCCCGTGTTCATCCCTGCGTGCATCCCCATGTGCATCCCCGTGTGCATCCCTGTGTTCATCCCCATGTGTATCCCCATGTTCATCCCCGTGTTCATCCCCGTGTGCATCCCTGTGTTCATCCCCGTGTGCATCCCTGTGTGCATCCCTGTGTTAATCCCCGTGTGCATCCCCGTGTGCATCCCCGTGTGCACCCCCGCGTTCATCCTCGTGTTCATCCTCGTGTGCATCTCCGTGTTCATCCTCGTGTTCATCCATGCGTGCATCCCAGTGTGCATCCCCGTGTGCATCCCCGTGTTCATCCCCGTGTTCATCCCCCTGTTCATCCCCGTGTTCATCCCCGTATTCATCCCCGTGTGCATCCCGGTGTGCATCCTGTGTGCATCCTTGTGTTCATCCCTGTGTGCATCTCCGTGTTCATCCTCGTGTTCACCCCTGTGTGCATCCCTGTGTGCATCCCCGTGGGCATCCCCGTGTTCATCCCCGTGTTCATCCCCGTATTCATCCCCGTGTGCATTCCGGTGTGCATCCTGTGTGCATCCCCGTGTTCATCTCCGTGTTCATCCTCGTGTGCATCCCCATGTGCATCCCCGTGTTCATCCTCTTGTTCATCCCTGTGTGTATCCCCGTGTGCATCCCCATGTGCATCCTCGTGTTCATCCCCGTGTGCACCCCCGTGTGCATCTCCGTGTTCATCCCCATGTGCATCCCCGTGTCCATCCCTGTGTGCATCCCCGTGTTCATCCCCGTGTGCATCCCTGTGTGCATCCCCGTGTTCATCCCTGTGTGCATCCCCGTGTGCATCCTGTGTGCATCCCTGTGTGCATCCCCGTGTTCATCTCCGTGTTCATCCTCGTGTGCATCCCCATGTGCATCCCCATGTGCATCCCCGTGTTCATCCTCTTGTTCATCCCTGTGTGTATCCCCGTGTGCATCCCCATGTGCATCCTCGTGTTCATCCCCGTGTGCACCCCCGTGTGCATCTCCGTGTTCATCCCCATGTGCATCCCCGTGTTCATCCCTGTGTGCATCCCCGTGTTCATCCCATGTGCATCCTTGTGTGCATCCTCGTGTTCATCCCCGTGTGCATCCCTGTGTGCATCCCCGTGTTCATCCCCTTGTGCATCCCTGTGTGCATCCCTGTGTGCATCCCCGAGTTCATCCCTGTGTGCATCCCCGTGTTCATCCCTGTATGCATCCCCGTGTTCATCCCTGTGTTCATCCCCATGTGCATCCCCGTGTTCATCCCTGTGTGCATCCTCGTGTGCATCCTCGTGTTCATCTCCGTGTGCATTCCTGTGTGCATCCCCGTATTCATTCCCGTGTGCATTCCCGTGTTCATCCCCGTGTGCATTTCCGTGTGCATCCCCGTGTTCATCCCCGTGTTCATCTCCGTGTGCTTCCCCGTGTGCATGCCCATGCTATACGCGTAGTTGATTGTCAAATATCTTGCACGATATTTTTATTTTAGAATATAACCTTGTGTTAAAGTCGGCTACATTAGTACTCTGAATTTCATTTTACACGCACGATAGAAACTCTTGTCGCATTTACAAGAATTCGTATTGCATTATTACAAGCAATAATGGGACATTATATCATACAATCAATACCACTTAACACTATAATGCTTATAATGGATATGGAACCAATTTAAGCATCGTTCTTTGGCTGGCGATTGTAGATAGTTCTTACCTCGTTCTTGAATAATGACCTTGTAAGGATTACTGAAATGAATAATAAAACAACGAAATGAAGTCATCGTTTGCTGCCTTATGTTGTGTGGTTGTTGCTTTACGCTATGCTATGCTATGCTATGCTATGCTATGCTATGCTATGCTATGCTACGCTATGCTACGCTACGCTACGCTACGCTACGCTACGCTACGCTACGCTACGCTACTCTACGCTACGCTACGCTATGCTATGCTATGCTATGCTATGCTATGCTATGCTATGCTACGCTACGCCACGCCACACCACGCCACGCCACGCCAAACCAAACTACGTCATGCAATGCCATGCTACATTACGCTATGCTATGCTGCACAACTAGTTTCTTCTTACCTTTGGGTATTTACTGGCATTGTTGAGGATATTGACACTAATGCTCCTGTTCCATCTTGCAGAGTCACAGTTCTCCACCTAGTTGTAACAAAATAAATAAATAATTAATTAATTAACAAATCAAGTATACGAATATTACATTAGGTACAAGTAACTAGTTGTACAATTATCTATTTAACAATCTTATATACAGGACATTGGACGCATGAGTTATTTCGTTCTGTTATCAGCGTCTTACTGGTCAACCCATTATGTTATCTAGGTACGTCGGACAAAAGAAGGGGAGGTGCCCGGGGGCTCACTTGTATCATTGCGAGACATCAACTTTTGGTGAAAATCATGGTCTGGGGACCAAACAAATTTGCAAGAAAACCCCGACCCAACAAACAAATTTCGAGAAAAACTCAACTTTATTACGTGTTCACTAGTTCTAAATCCATGCCACATACCACACATTATAAAGGCGGCAAAAATATTACCCCTTTGAGAGAGATAAGGGTGGGACCAACGATGTAGCTCGTCCATATCACCCCTTAACAATTGAGAAGCAATAGAGAGTATTGGCGGTTGTACACGTGGTTTCAAGATGGAAAGCGGTAGTACAATTTGAATTCCAAATGTGACGGCGTTTGCAATCATGTTTGCAAGTAGACCACTCCCACAGAGAAATGAAACCGCAAACTAAATACCGCCATCATTGGGCTATTTTTATAACAAATACAATTAATGTTCATGACTGTGAGAATCAAAGAGTGGAAAAAATATTTTCTCACGATTTAATTATTGAAAATTATGGACATAAAAACGAAAACGTTAACAATTAGTTGCATCACCAAGTCAACGCATCCGTAACCTTGGTAACATTTGTACGAAATGACAACATACTATGCAAGTTTTCACAATTATCTCAATTATCTCCATGGCAACTGAATATAAAGAGTGAAGAATGAAGGAGCCAGTTTCAAATTCCCTGGATGCGTCGCTTCACGCAGATCCGGGAAATATCATTTCACGGAACTTTGTTTGCCACCCATAATTCATCGCGATCATTTAATGTAGTAGTAGGGAAGTCTATTTGGCGCAAATTTGATCAAATATCATTAAAAGAAAAGCAAATTTGTTCAACGTTCCCTCAAGTTCCCATATACCGCGCGATTTCACGAATGCTACGAACTCCCATAGTTGTTGTTTTTTCGCGGTGAAGTGAACCGTAAAGTACATAATGTCACAGTACTATTGTTGCATCTTAATTAGCAATTATTTTTTCAAAATAGAAAGTGAACAAAACGCGGCGCCTAGCGATGTCTCTAAAATTGAGGGAACGTTTTAGAGTACTTTTTCAAGTGAAATGTTGGCAGTAAAATGCATTACTATACATTCTTAACCCCGGATTCGTACTTTCACTAACATGTTATCACACGTGTCTTGTAAAAATGTGCGCGTCACAGCTTTAGACTGAAAAAGAAAAAGTCAAAAAAAGTCACAGATTTGAAACGACAATTTTACAATAATAACAAGAAAGCCACAAGAGAAGAGAGCTCTCCGAAATCTTTATTAAAACCACTGGCTGAACGCTCATATCTGCAATAGTGCTCCAGATATGGTAGTTATGCATTCTTGATAAGGTCGCACGATATAATGGTTATTAAATATGTTAATCAGATCATGAGCCCTGTATTTTCGAAAAATACCTTGACGAATGTTTATCTGCAATAGCATAGTATTTGAATGATGTCACATGGTCTGTAATGCTCTAGATATAACAGTTATTCATTTTTAAATGGATCACGTGATTATTATGGTCATAAGGTAATTGAACATGTTGAATATTTTCAAAAAAGCCCTGGACGAAAGTCACTATCTGAAATAGTGCTGGAAGTATGATAGTTATATAGTTTTAATGATGTCATCTGACCATATATGGTCATTAAATATGTTGATCAGATCTAGTCTATCTCTAATATATCACTGTGCGAATGTCTCCGCTATCTGCAACAGTGCCCTCACTATGACTACATACGGGCATACACAGACATACGGACGAACGTACGGACGGGTGCTGGTGACCACTATATCCCCGCCTACACAACATGCCGGGGATAATAAAAAAAAATGAGTGCGCTTCGATTTTGAAAACAATTTTTTTTTGGCCTAATTATAGATATGTAAAAGGTCCCCTAATATGTTTACAATTATTATGCCTGTAGCACATCTAACGCATGTACGTCTAATAATGAAATATTCCCAGAGAAATTAATTTTTCTAGTTTCTTTCGATAAATAGAAGAAATGTCAAGAGTCTGCAAGCCTGAAGCTGCAAGGAATGCTGCGCCTTACACAAACGCCATTCAAGACAAATTAAAAATATCAAAACATATTACTGTTGTTCCTGTGACACTCAAATTTTTTTTTTAGAAAGTTCTGACATTTTGAAGATTTGTAGTGTAGCAATCAGTTTTCAGCAACGAACTGTTTTTTTGGAAGGGCAGTAGATCCCTCCTATTCGTAAACCGGTCACTCCAAAAGCCTATCCTACAAACCCGGCAACATGAGCTTCTACACTCTGGGCATGTTAGTTGTTTTCGATCACTTCGCTTATCATGATGATGAACGCTGACGGCAATACTAATACCGAGATTAAAGGGAACCGTGACTATTGTGCCATTAATATACCACCCCCATACAAGCATACATACATACATACAGCCCGGAATATATGCGACATTCAAGTCACTATACGTTACTACATTAATGCCTAACTATAAATGTACTACGAGTAACATCTCGCCATACGCCTAATTACGAAGCTAGTAACATCTCTGCAGTGTTACACTCACCATACGCCTAATTACGATGCTAGTAACAACTCGACAGTGTTACATTCGCCATACGCCTAACTACTATGCTAGTAATATCTCTGCAGTGTTACACTCACCATACGCCTAACTACGATGCTAGTAACATCTCGACAATATTACATTCGCCATACGCCTAACTACGATGCTAGTAACATCTCTGCAGTGTTACATTCGCCATACGCCTAACTACGATGCTAGTAACATCTCGACAGTGTTACATTCGCCATACGCCTAACTACGATGCTAGTAACATCTCGACAATATTACATTCGCCATACGCATAATTGCGATGCTAGTAACATCTCTGCAGTGTTACACTCACCATACGCCTAACTACGATGCTAGTAACATCTCGGCATTGTTACATTCGCCATACGCCTAACTACGATGCTAGTAACATCTCGACAATATTACATTCGCCATACGCATAATTGCGATGCTAGTAACATCTCTGCAGTGTTACACTCACCATACGCCTAACTACGATGCTAGTAACATCTCGACAGTGTTACATTCGCCATACGCCTAACTACGATGCTAGTAACATCTCGACAATATTACATTCGCCATACGCATAATTGCGATGCTAGTAACATCTCTGCAGTGTTACACTCACCATACGCCTAACTACGATGCTAGTAACATCTCGACAGTGTTACATTCGCCATACGCCTAACTACGATGCTAGTAACATCTCTGCAGTGTTACATTCACCATACGCCTAACTACGATGCTAGTAACATCTCGACAGTGTTACACTCACCATACGCCTAATTACGATGCTAGTAACATCTCTGCAGTGTTACACTCACCATACGCCTAATTACGATGCTAGTAACAACTCGACAGTGCTACATTCGCCATACGCCTAACTACGATGCTAGTAACATCTCGGCATTGTTAAACACACCATACGCCTAACTACGATGCTAGTAATAACTCTGCATTGTCCGTGGTGTTTCACTCGCACGATTACTATTTGATTCATGATAATAGTTTAGAATCTAATTGCGGCGTTCCACTCGGTATATACGACTGCACCAATGTGTAGCTTCAATGCTAGTAATATCACTGTGACGTTAAAGTTGCACTCAATATCAGTCACTTCACTAAGATGTAACATCTGATTCTTTAATTTGGTTTTAGATTCTATGTGGCGTTTCATTCGCTATTTACCACTACACTGATGCCTAGATTTGATGCTAGTAATATCTCCGCGGTGTTTCACTCGCTATACTCCACTAACGCCGAGGTAGATATTGCCATGAATGAAATAGGACACTCTCGTCGTACTCCCCTTATCGAGACTAACCAGCAACGCATGTCACGGTTTGATAGATGGTTCGAAGACCAGTTTAGTGATTACAACACGACTATTTGCAAACGAGGATGAGGGTGGACCAACATGGCGGAATTGATGACGTACTTAACAGAAATATCACGTGAAACCAAAACCAGCGTACTGTAATAGTCTATTCAGTTTGAGACACTTTCTTGGAAATCGTCCAAGAAACACAGATGCAAAAATAAGCAAATAACTGGTAGAGCGTGATGAGCACAATTTATGTTGCATTTCATACCGCTTTCAGTGTGTTCGCGATATTTCACAAATGTTCATCCTGAATGTCTTTTAATAGTGAGCACGTTCGTGGTGGTGGGTCAACAGGACGATGGGTGGTCGATTCGTCCCACAATTATATTCGCCTCAAAATTAATTTATTAGATTTATTACATGGAAATCGACATCACCCTGCACAAGATCGTAAAGCTGACAAATACCTAAATGGACGAATTTGAACTGGAACAAATTGATTGTGATTCAACAGGCCATAACAGTCCCTCATCAGGAACTGTAAACAGGCAAATCATTGGCTAAGTGATTTAATCAAATTTGTGAAATGTCAGTTAATTGTTCAGTAGGAATATGTGATAGATATGAGTGGATGGTGACTTGTTATTGTTATCGAACATGTAGACACCCCAGTCTTTGTTGTTAGCAAATCATAATTACTGCATTAATTGTAAGCTGTAATAGCCGGAGACTCGTCACTCACTGGCAGCTAAGTTTGTGAGAAGGCCAGAGAACTTGAAAGTCAGGCGACTAATAAGTAGATTGTGTCAAATACATTGTTTCCATCTTCACTGACTATAAATTTCATGTGATATACTCATACAAATCTTCATATTTTATCAATACGCACAACGGTTCCCGGATTCCTCG